AGTTTATCAAAACGGTCGGGTGGTCGAGCGTGAAAAGGTCTAGGACGACAGAGGCTCAGGAGCATCAAAGGGAACGTCGCGATACCTTGGCGCCGCGTAAACTTATGTAGAACTCCATCGCCCGTTCATGGTCTAATATGCATGGCAAACAGCGCCAGCGCAGACATCCAGGTATTTACCGAACCAGAGCGTAAATCGTGCGTTCTCGTGATGGATAGCTAACGCATTGAGCAATGGGGACGCTTTGACATGGTCGCTGTTCAAACATCACATAAGACATTTTCGTTTTTAAACTACCCCACTTTAGCTATCGATTTCGTTCTTATTACCCGAGCGTCTTAACATAAGCGTGTTGTCTTTGTAAACGGGAGACGAGAAAGCTTTTACAGAAGCATTATGAAAGCAAACAGCCGCCAAGATTGTCCACTGTCCGAGAGCACAGTCGCCGTTCCCAAAGAATACCGAGACGCGGAATGCATGGAGGCCCTGGGCCGGAAAGCCGGGATAGGAAATAATACGTCAAACTCATACAAACCGGGTTGGACGTAGGGTCATCAAAAGAGTTCAGTCGGAAGGGCGATGCCATTGGTCAAATAGAAGAACGAAGTGGGTGACATGGTGAGCTACAAGTGTCATAGGCATGAAGGGTGAGTTGTCCAATGGACATTAGACGATGGATAGTTCAGGCATAATCTGACAAGGAAGCCATAGAACGTGTAAGCATCGTCATTAACCCTCGCCCTGGCAGGGCATTTTTCATAACACGGCCTGCCAGGGGGGGGGGGGGGTTGATGCGACCCCCCCCCCCTCGCGATTGGCTCCTATGGCACCTAGAAACACCAAATTTGGTAGGTAGGTGAACCCCTGGAGTTCTCGCCCCTGTGCAAATTTGGTTGCTCTAGGTCAATATTTAGGGGGGTTTTGGAGGGTATAAATGTAAAAATTTCGCTAACAACAGGTCAAAAGTGTTTCGCTTATAACTTTTGATCTGATTAAGATAGAGAAAAAAGAAAAGCACCAGTGAATTCAGCACGTCAAGGCGCGTCGAATGATATACTTTTTGCTTGCTTAAGTGTACTTAAAGTTTTTCTTAATTTTTAAGTAAACTTTAATTAATTAGTTAAGTTCAAGTTAACCAAATTGCATCATATCGCATATCATTCGATTCGGCTGATCACCAGGAACACAATGACACCATTTTTTAAGCTCTAGCGTCATTATGTGCCAAGTTATTGGCAAAAATGTCATTTGACCTCATTTGACCTCATTTGACCTGACCCATGGATAAGTACACCAAACAAAGAAGCAATAAGTGACCTGTTGTTAATTACTATGGTTTCAAAGCACAAAAGTGATGGAACCAAGCAGATATCTCCAGTATTTTCCGAATTTAGTATTTTCCATAGGCTTAACATTACGACGTAATGACCTCTAACCAGACATGTGCTTGGATCCGGAAAAATGGATCTGAGATCCGATCCCATGGATCCCGATCCGAGATCCATTCAGATCATAGATCCAACCCCTCAATTTTGTCGAGAGATCTACTGGGATCATAGATCTGACCCTTCAATTTTGTCGCTAGATCCACTCGGATCATAGATCTGGCTCCCCAATTTTGTCGTGAGATCCGTTGGGATCATAGCTCATACATAGGTGCTCAAAATGTTAACAACTTTCTTTCATAAGAAGTTATGAATACCAAAGTATGGTTAGAAACAAACAATCTTATACAAAGACCATATTAGTAAAGGCATCCAGTTACATTATACAGAATACAAAATAAAGGAGGCTCATGACGGTCACAACTTGAGAGAATTGAGTGACATGAAGATTGTTCACAGTTCACATACCAACAGAAAAGTTTGCATTAACAATTAACATAGAGGTAAGTCAAAGTAATGACTAATGAACAATACATAACTAGGTACCTACCACATCACAATTCATGTTAGAATCTACATAATGATATTGATAAGACAATCTCATTGATCTTGCATTAGACAACCATGAGGCTTTCCAGTTTCCAGCTACCACAATTGATTGATAAACAATAAAAGATGATACTGACACATGTGGCTTGGTTAGGTAAAGGTATTTCAATCTATTGAAAGAAATATTTGATAAAATAAACTGAGATATAAACAAAAGTATAAAAATATTCAACAGCCTGCGGAAGCGATGGGAAGCGAAATATCAATTGTAATGGCCTTGGATATTTACCGTAAAATGATCAGTATCTAAATTGAACTCGTGACGTCATTTCAAATAACAAATGAGATAGGCGTTCTACCTTCGAGTATAATGAAAATAAATAAAAAATCAAACTGGAAATTCAAAAGTCTGGAGCTTTTTTTAAAGAATGTTCATTTTTTCTGCCTCACATGATTTTACGATACGATTGTTTGTGAATATCATCTTTGTAGCGTTGAATTTAATGACGTAAACGTAAGCTGAAACGGTATTATATGGCCCTGAGCGGTGTGCGCCTTGCATCTTAATTTTATTCACTTTTCAAAAGAATAACAATATCTTACGTCATTAGTTTAGAGGGCCTATTACGGGGAATCTTTTGGAATCATTACGGTCTTGGTCAAATTAAGATTTTTCATTGGTCAAACGATAATGACGTAATAAAACCATATTACCAAAACGTGAGCTGTGAATTTCGTTTGTCTTTTTTTGGGAGGCTCTCTCATAACAAAAGCAGGGGGGCGACACGGCTATTCGCGCAATGTATTCAGTTATGGGCCGCGCGGGGCCTCGCGATGACGCGGCTGGAGGCAACTGCTCAGCGCGCTAGGATACTTCTGGCGGGGCCGGGCGCTGAACGGTGTGCAATGAATGGGTTATGGGCGGGCGGACAGAGATAAGGTATTGAATTTGAATTGACATCAGCAATCGGGTGGGGAGGGAGAACGTTTCTAATCGAGCTTGGGATGGGGAAAGCCGAAAATGTCACGATCGGATCATAGCTCCGACAGGGCCGGGTGCCGTACCATGTGTAGTATATTTAGGCGGGCAGACAGAGAGTCTTAGTGTCTTTAGATACATACAGCTTCGACCATGGACGTCGGACGGAGTGATCGTTCTACGAATGTACGCACCATCCAGGCCTAGGATGCATCGAGGTTTATAAGACTGCAGTCTGTAGATCAATCAGCATAACAATGGTGGTATGCAACCACATTAGAAGATCTCTCCGGCTCCCGCAACGTTCCAACGCCCCTCCTTTATGCATTCGCCCGATGTGTCCGCCGAGCCGGCTTGCCTCCAATGACGTCATCGGCCGGCCGGCGGCGTTCAAGGTCAAACGGCTGGTGTCCTTACCTGGAGTTCTATAGCCTTGAACAAAAGCACAGCATGGCGGCACCACACGTGGCAGCTGGCAGGATGCCAAAAGTGGCCAAAAGTAGGTAATCTGAAGAAGTTGATGCCATTTTTGAACTTGTAATCTTATTAGGAAAGTATTAGAGGTTGGTTGCTATTCTTACTAAATCGAAATTGTGTTGCACATACTAATAGCTCATATGAACATTCTGGATTGGGATTTCATACCTGGCAGAAGTGGATTGCTGGATTATTTTTAACAAAACTGACCTATTTGGCTTCCAGGTTTGATTTCCTAACATCTGTCCATAGGCGGCAGAACAGGGGGGGGGGGTGGCACCAGGGTACAGTGCCCCCCATAGAGTTTGGCATTTTAGCATTAGCCCTACTGGCGTTGCAGAAAGAATGGGACCAAAATGAAAATCTGCAGTGCCCTGCTGCCACTGCATCTGTCTGTACTGTTTGTTCTTTGAATTAAAGTGGCTGTAGCTTGTTGATAAGATTGTCATCAGTGCTGTCATGAAAAAGTTACAATTGGTCACAAAAAGTAGCAATATGCATGTTCTTGGTTTATTTTAAATGTAGTACAAATGTTGTTTATTTAAATTCAAATTTAATGATGATACCTAATGATCACAAGTGGTCTTAACCAATAACCATGTCCACAAGTGATAATTCTCAATTGTATTGCACTGTAAGGTGTACAATTATGTAGGATAAGGGTTTCATTGGCTACATGTTGTCGTGAGATCCATACAGATCATAGGTCCTCCACAAATTTTAGCCCGCTGGATCCACAGAGATCATAGATCCGACCCCTAAATTTTGTCGAGAGATCCATTCAGATCATAGATCCAACCCCTGAATTTTGTCGAGAGATCCACTCGGATCATAGATCCAACCCCTCTATTTTGTCGAGAGATCCACTGAGATCATAGATCCAGCTCTCGGATCCAAGCACATGTCTGCCTCTAACTGACCTCAGGTCAGTGACCTCAAAAAACCCGAACTATATGTTATACAACTCGGTGAACTTAGCACATCCTGAAAGTTTGAAGGAAATCAGTCCAAAACTGTGAGCTGGACAGGTGCAAAAAGAAAATTGAAATTTGACCATGACCTTGTACCGGTTTTTCTGACCTGGTGACCTGACCCAAGGTCACCCGGACTTGAAATTTTCAGGTCATATGTAAAAAGGTTGCCCCATAGGCTGTGCCACGCGCCGCCGTTTTTACGCTATCTTCGAAAAACCTTAGGGGGGGTTGCATCACCCCCCCCCCCCCTGCCAGGGCGAGGGTTAATCTGCTTTTACATTTAGGTAAGGATAATACCTAATGAAGTCAAACTGCATTAACCTAGCTGCCCGCTATAGGATACGATTCGCGTATTGCTACAACCACGTCAACGTGGCACACTCAACAACTTTCTTTCAGCAGTACAATCAACAGCCGGTTGGCGGTTCAGTGAGGCGTGAGAGGCCGCACACGCCGCCTCTCCCGTATAACCAATAACCCGCTCTCGACGTCCGAGGGTCCCCTCCACGTCCGTCGTCGGCCGAGTCCCACAGCATCCCCCCCCCCCCCACCCAGCTGACCCAGGGAGGGGGAGTGGCGGCGCGCCTGCGCGCCAGCGCCGCCCCGGGCATAACAGCGCTGGCTGCCGCGGCCCGAGGCAGAAGCAGCCCACCGACCGCAGAGCAGGGTCGTACTCAGCAGAGGTCCGATCAGACGGGCCACGTGACGTCATTAAGGAGGTGCTCTGACGTCACTCAGGGTGGGGGTTTTGGAACAGCTTAGTGTAACAGCTCGTTTTCAGATTTGGAAGGAAAATCATGTTCTGGTTGGGATTCACAGGAGTGCTGCTTCTTTGTCACAAAGGTAAGCTTATTTCTCCCGTAGAAGAGTTCTTTAATTAACATGTGAAACAATTGTTAATTTTAAAATATAATAACAAAAGAAATAGCTTAGTATAAAAGTACAATGAGAAAAGTGCTGACAAACTTAATCAGAAACAGGACAATGAAAGCTATACTAACAGACTGCATCTGTGGAGATTTGCTGAATGCAAAATTCAACTGTCAAAAAGGCGCCTTTGCCGCAACCACTGATATTTTGCAGAAACTGATTCCTATTCTAGCCCGTCGAAATTATTCACAAAGTCCAAAGCAATAGCAGGGGTGTCGCTTCGGTTCCACGGCGACCAAACATCAGAACGGCACGGGTCCAACACGCACGTGTCGGAAACTGAACTTAACTAAATAAAATTATTCTTTTTCATAACTGCTCCCTTAGCTCCCTTTTTCATATTGAATTGCTGTGAAATAGTATCGCAACTAAACACAAATACTGCGAGATATCACCTAGCAGGGAGATATCATCTGCAGGATTTTATTTGTTCATTTAATTCACCAATCGGATATCATACCAATAAACAAATAAAAAAGGCGTGGAGCGATTCGTTAGCTACTGGACTAAATCACCAATAGTTTTCATCATCCGCCTTTAATTACCAAACCCGATTCAATTAAAACGACGGAAAACCTTGTTTTTACCGTCCCGCTTATCTATTCAGCGCGCAGCCTGGCCTCTGATATTTCTTGTGCCAAGACGAACCCAATTTCGGATGGAGAGGAATGGGACAGACGGGATGGAACGAGCTGCGTTTGTAATTGTCAGACTGTTCTGGCATTTTTAGATCCCGGCGGCATCGGCCCGCGATCAGAGGGCAGAGCATTCTCCGTGGCACGTCTCGCACATTATTTAACGGGCCAAGTCCCGGAATTAGAGGGCAATGGCCATAGCGCAGAGTTTAATGTGGCCCAGTATCTAGCGCGGGCGGCGGCAGTTCAGCATCGTAATTGGGGACAATCATAAAGATTACATCGGCTCGATAAGGCTCTTAAATCAGCCGCCAAGGAGCGTTCTATAATGGTCACTTCATGTCTATAATGTGGCGGTCATACATTGCCAGTAATTGTACCAATGATGACAATGCGAATTATACACTACAGGCGAGTCACTTCATAGTAATATAACGATCAATAGCGAAATATAAGCATGAAATGTTTCAGCTTTACTCTCACGTTCGAGATGTCTGCAAGTTTATTACAGTAAGTTATCCGCGTCACTCGCAATATCCACTGTCTTCATTGACCTTGCCACTGAACGTCTCGAAATTCGCCCAACTAATGCAAACAGCCTACGATGTGGCAGAAGGTACGGCCAAAGAAAAAGTGAGCCAATGCATAGTTCATCAGGCGCCACAGGTAGCAACAAAACTCCGTTGCACTAGAGCGAAAAATGCTCCATTGAACATAAAGGACATTCGTGATATTTATCAACAAAGTCAACTCGTACAGAATTGACGAGACGACTGCCCGCTACTTTTTCAAGGAACCTGCTACCACTCAACTCGTTTGATGCATTTAGCCCTGCAAAGAGCCCACGTGCCGACATTCAGTCGGCTCCATCGGCGTCCTGTTGCAATCGTTGCCGGGTGGGACGCGCCTCCGAGTGTCCTGTCCCGTCACGGTCTGCAGCCATTGCCGCCATTACTGACTATTACTGGCCATTACTGGCCATTTGCACTGGCCACCGGCCGGGTCATCTTCAGTCGGCGCGGGGACGTCGCGTGAGTGCTGAGCAGCGGCATCCCACCCTCTCCCCGGCCCTCCCACCCCTCCCCCACCCTCCTGAGGCGGCAGACGCTCAGTCGGACGGCCATGTCGAAGTCCAGCGGACAGTGACGGTCGGTATGGCCCACCGGCCCGGGAGATGCACTGCCCCCGCACAGAGTGGCACAATCAGGGGGGATGGTACACGGAGAGGTCTCACTGTAGGGACGTTGATCGCCGTACTCGAGTAAAGGGCGACAAGAACACAAGCAAAGGCGATTGACTCATCATTTTTAAAGCCAAGCCAAGTCATGAAGTAGTTTGATATTCGGGCAGACAAACACTGGGATTTTTGTTCAGTCAAGTGTCGTATTGTATCCATGTATCTCGCCAGTGCTTACGCCTGACTTTTGACCTTTTAACCGATTCTCACATCACCTCTCATCTGGAGGTATTACTATTCATGGTCCCAGGTGGGGGCCTACAAAGGCGCACCTGATCTGAAAATGAGCTAAACCAAATGAGGCACCTTTCACCGTCTAACCATCCGCCACGTGAAAAGAGTGGCAAAGGAGCCGCGCACAACAGAAGCTATCCAGTCGTGATGGAGTTCCTTTGTACCCTGATGACCTCCCGTTTGGTACAGATTACGCCTATATTCGCCGACATAGCGATGGAAAACTGAGCCCCATGAGTGAGCCATTGTGGCAGCAATCGATCGATCTATCGATTGCTTTTTCGATCGATTTATTTATTTATTTATTTATTTATTTATTTATTTATTTATTTATTCATTTTTTGCTGGGTAGTGCATTATCAATACACACCGACGCAGCGAAAGCGACAGTTACGGACGTAAAACTACTCCTTCGCTAAAATCGACCAGGCTCATCTTGGGCATGACTACGGCCATTTTGAAATGAACTGTTAGATCGCGCAGCACGACACACAACAAAACATAATCATAATACCTTTGTGTTTCAGAGGTGCTGGGAAGCTGGGATGATTGGTGGACCTACGAAGGAATATCAGGTACGTATAACGAACCAGTCGGCTCTGATGACAAACGAGTATATGAAGTGTTACACGACACACTTTAACGATGATCGACTAAAAACAAAACAAAACAAAAATCCATAATTTTCCTTGTTTGTCTAAGTGTGCATATTTTTAACTACAAATGATTTTTTTCAATAATGAAGAAATAAGCAGCAAATATGACTCTCATTATTACATACGTTGCCTCCGTTCAATAGACAGAGCCAGCCGTAGACAGCCCCAGTTGGTTTATCTGGCTGATGCAGCACATACGTGTTTCGGGGAAAATGGACCGACTCAGCGTCTTTCACATCATGTAAATGAATCTCGATTGGGTGAAAATAGCAGAAAATTGTGTGGTTCGTATTGCTGTTGCTGACACAACTTGACAACACCCGGGCTTCTCCTGCTAGGAAAACATAATGCGGTGGAGAAATCCACGACAGCTTTTGGGTTGGTGGCTATCTCGGCTTCCTTTGCCGCATAGCCGCATCATGTCGTGTGGCAATGGCCTAATAGACCGATTAGACCTCTCGTATCACAAACAAACAGCATAAACTGGCCAGTAGTGCTGAAAACTCTCTCTCTCTCTTTCTCTCTCCCTCTGTCTGTCTGTCTGTCTGTCTGTCTGTCTGTCTGTCTGTCTGTCTGTCTGTCTGTCTGTCTGTCTGTCTGTCTGTCTGTCTGTCTGTCTGTCTGTCTGTCTGTCTGTCTGTCTGTCTGTCTGTCTGTCTGTCTGTCTGTGTCTGTCTGTCTGTCTGTCTGTCTGTCTGTCTGTCTGTCTGTCTGTCTGTCTGTCTGTCTGTCTGTCTGTCTGTCTGTCTGTCTGTCTGTCTGTCTGTCTGTCGCTCCCTCTCTCTCTCTCTCTCTCTCTCTCTCTCTCTCTCTCTCTCTCTCTCTCTCTCTCTCTCTCTCTCACTGTGTCTCTCTCTCTCCCTCCCCTCACCCCTCTCACCTCCCCTGAATTCAATCGGCCAAACGCAAATGACAAACAAAAATACTCGTTATCGGCACAAACATCCCTTACTAAAACCCTCACAAAACAATAATAAGACATAACCAAAATGAATAGCCCGTTGCATCTAGTACGGAGTACCGATTACAAACGAGAGCCGCAGCGCCTCTCCGGCCGCCTGGGGTGCCGGCTCCTATTTCTGGGCCACATATTGCTCGTATGCGCCGCCAATGATTGCTCCCTAACGCCGCGCCAGGCAGGGAAATCTGATTTATTTATGCCGGCCTTTTCCGTGACTGGTGTACGCATCTGTCCCGCGGCGGCCTATCGCTACCAGACGCCACTGAGGCTCCTTCTGGGCTGCCCAGCAGGAGATGGACAAGACGAGAGAGGCAGAGAGGAAGGACGGTTGGCAACAAAACAAGGACAAAAGATGGGGACAGAGTGAGAACCAGGGGAGGAGAACGAAAGCAAGAGGCAAGGAGAAAAGCAAAAACAAGAGAATGAGGCAAAAGAATGGGAGAACGAGCAGAGAGATGGAGAGAGAGAGGGGGGAGAGAGAGAGCAATGAATAAAAACTAAGGGTGGATTGGAAATATTGAACTTACGGAAGATATGGGTAGCTGGTAGTTGAAAGTCAACTGTAGTAAAACGGAGAAGAATATGCAGAATTACATATGTTGCATGTTGCGTCGGAATATGCTGACTTAGGAATAGGATCCGCTCTGTAAATTCCGAACGGAAAGATATTGACGGAGAACTAAGTGCTACGCAACGTTAATCCTGATTTATTCCCAGATTTGGTACACAGTTACGGTCAAGTTGGTAGGCTCAACGGAAAGTTATGCAGAGAGCGGCGTTTCACTGAAATGCATTCAACATTGGGCCTTATCATCAAATAACTGATAGCAGAACTAGATACGCAGCTGAATGCAATTATTGATAACTTTCACGAACCATTGAAATGTTTGCCAACTGTTCAAAGCTACATCCAATCCTGAAAGATCTGATAAAAGAATTAAATGCATTCCTGAATGCCCAGATAGACAACTTTCACGAACTTCTGAAATGCATCCTTTCGTGTAACTCAAGCTTCAACGCTTCCAAGGAGATGTGCCAAGTTTATTGGTATAGTCTGAGACTATTTCGATGAGTGGCACAACCCCGCCCCTCCGTTGCCAGGCCCCGCCTACTGGGGAGTGTTCAACTCGGACTGGCACTTCTGCGCCCGCGGTCGGCAGCAGTCGCCAATCGACATTGACCCGTACAAACTGCTCTTTGATCCGCTGCTGCGACCCGTCCACCTCGACAGGGTGCAGGTCAGTCACTACAGGCATCGTGAGGCGTGTAAGAAATAGGTCCTTTGAGCATCTCGCATTTCCGCCGCTCGGAGCTGCAGATGGTAGGCTGTGCCGCAGCACTCGCGTGTCTTGCGGTACAGCCTACCTCTTCAGGCACTTTGCTGGCAGCGCCAAGCAGCACAGACTAGACGGAGACATACAAACTCGCGGCGTTCTCAGCAATACGGGTCGTCTGCCGATGTTCTTTACCCTTCTCGTAGGTCCGCGGCCTTTTTAACAACACGTTTCGTATACTATGTCCCCGCCTCCCTTCACAGACCCGCGGCCTGCTCAACAACACGGGTCGTCTGCTGATGTTTCGGACGGAGGACGGAGACGGGTGGCCACCTCTGAACATCAGTGGCGGCCCGCTGCTCTATACATATCAGCTGGCCGAGATTCACATCCACTTCGGTATCAACAACAGTACTGGGTCAGAGCACAAGATACACGGCTACTACTTCCCGGCAGAGGTGAGAATGGACGGGGAGATGGAGGGGAAGGGATGGGAAGAGGGAAGAGGGGATATGGGGAGGAGGTGAGAGGGCAGACATGAGATGTCAAACGGGAGAGACAGGAGGCAAGAAAATTGAGGCAAGGGGAAATGAAAACGACCGGCTGACAAAAATTGTTGCAAACCAACATCCAGGAGTAAACTTATGTGACATAAGTGACCGTCAGAATATAACATAGATGAATATCAGTCCTCCGTCGTCATTCATCATCCATACACGCGCAGGTGTTTTAAGCCCCTCGGTGTTTTACGCGACATTCAGTCGGTCATGAACAAATGCTTGTTGCCGATTCAACAAATAACGTAGCGCCGGTTGACACCCTCCATCAATACTCGCTGGCGGTGCGGTGTATGTACCATTTCACCTTTGGCTGTGCTGCATGATTAGCGGGTAATTTGGCGCGGCACCAGTGACCTTTCCCTGTGGTACACCGCCGATAACCTATTTACATCACGTGTCTCACTCGCAGCCCGCTGCAGCCCGCAGCGACTCACTGCACGATCCCCGCGTGTCTTACGAGATACTACGCAACCCAGCATTGGATCGACCTCTTACCAGACTACGCAACAACCCTTTCTACCGATATCAGCTGGTCCAACAGGCCCTCACGTTGTAACACACCGCTCCACTGATACCAGCCGGTGTAAAAGGGCTCTGGGCTGACCGGTGCCCGGTTCTGGCCGCTGACAGGTGCAGCTCTATGGCTTCAACTCGGACCTCTACAAGACTATGTCGGAAGCCGTGCTCCGACCGCAGGGGATCGTCGCCGTCTCCATCATGGTGCAGGTCGGTCACAGAGATCCGATAGGTGACTGAGCTGCTCCTTTGTGGAGTGAACACCTCCATAGACCCTGGGTCTGTGTTAGAAGCTTGTAGACCCACGTTCGCCTCACCAAAGCCATTGTGTGCCTTACTTGTTGATGATGTTTTATGTCTTTAGTACACTAGTAGTAACACCCGCTGCCACCATTCCCGCACCATCCGCTTCCCTCTCCTGGGCCCAATCTCACCAAGTGCAGTAAACTTGTTTGGGGTAGCGGTAAGTTACCGCACCGAAATAACCCCAAGCAAATAATCCAGTCTCACCAACCCAAACGACCCCATGCTGTAATTTACCGCATTTTGTGCAAATCCTGCAAAAGAACCCCATTTGTCGACGCTTCGGATTGGTGGAAAAGCTGCTGATCACGCCGGCGCGATATAAAGAACGCAATTGTTTTGTCGCCATGGCAACGATAGCGTGTTTCTTCTTTCCAAGCGGCACCTCAGTTTCCAAGACTCACGGGCGACATCTACATGCTGTTTTGGGTACTGCAAATAGGAAGCATAGGTGGCGCAGGCTGCAACAAAAAATAATCTTAAAAAAGAAACCTATTTCTTTTCTTTCTTATAAAGTTCTTATTACATCTTTAATTGTTGATTCTTGCTCACAATTGGTATAACATTTAGAGATTACGGCACAAATGTCTGCGGTAATTTTGGTCCGACATTTGGGGGCAATCAGCTGATTGTTTGGTTTGTTTACTTGCTTTCGGGCCGTGAGCAGTTGCGCACATGAAGAATTTGCTGTAAAACCGAAGCTATCCCATGGGGTTATTTCGATGCGGTAACTTCAAAAGTTACGGCAGTGGTGAGATTCGTTTTGGGGTAGTTTACCGCAAAATGAGTTTACTGCACTTGGTGAGATTGGGCCCTGCCGTGTGACCGTGACCGGTCATCTCCACTCCATTGGTACGCGGCGGGGTTACCGCACCGGTTCCGTGTTAGTACCCGGGAAGGTAGGCCTGACTCCCGACCACCATCGATCACAGCTCGCCGCCTTGATTGTGAGTGATACGGCTTCGGTGGGCGCCGGTCGGACCCCGGGCTGGGCCACTGCCGGACCGGACACGAGGCCCTACAACGGCCGCCGAGCGCAGTCGACACGGCCGCCAAACGGCGACACCGAGCGGGAATTGGGACACTGACCGTGATCCATAACGGCTGTAGAAACCATCAATAGCTGTCGCTCGCTGTTTGGTGACAGTACAAGTGTCAAATCTTTCGGTCAATCGACATGCTAAGCTTCGCGAAGCTCAACTCTGCTGCTATGCCAGTATGCATTGCTGGGCAGAATCTAATCGCTGAGATATGATGAGATGTTAAATCACTTCTCGGCGAGCTAACTTCGGCCTGTCCTAGCGTTTATGATTAACTCAGCACATCGCACACAATCAGCATAATGTTACACCATGATAAGTAGGTACCTCGCTGGATATTTGGTCCACTTCATTGCATCACTCGAGTAACCCTACAGGATGCGAGTCCATGTTTATACGGAACCAGTTGCGCCGCCAGACCCCCATTAATTCCTGCCGTCTGATAGAGCACCACCTGTAACTGGTCTGGACCGTCTGAATCGTCCGTTCGCTCCGACCGACCGCCGGCGGCCGCCCTAAATCATACGGCGAAATGAGCCGGGTAAATACGGTCGACTGACCTGACCCAGTGCGGTAGAGCTGACCGGCGGAGGAAGCCGGAACGGGCTGTTTTACCAGAGCTGGAGCCAGTAGCGGGAACGGACAGGAGGGGCTCGACCGAGCGGGCAGGTGTTCAGGGGTCAATGCTGCTGACGTGCGGCTAGCACTGGTATTAGTGTGCGTCCAGTGCATTATTGCAACGAGGATGACCATAAAGTATGAAGATCGTCTGATTTTACGCGCAACGATCGATCGTTACTTCACTATTACGTGAGGTACGGACATACATCATCTGCTTTCAGCGCACTGAGCTCATAGCACGAATCTTGCTTTCAGATTGGAGAAACGACTCATCCAGAGCTCGCGAAAATCACAAAGTGTCTCCCCAAAGTGCAATATCAAGGTATGGTATAATTCAGGATAGACTGATTTTGATTCAGACGCCTCATTCTCCGATGCCGCTGTATTTTTCTTCAATAATTAACGTAGCACCTTAAACATGATTCCCGGTCCTAAAAGAAGGCTTAGGCTTTAGTCGGCGTAAAACAGCAGTACAAAATAACTAAAACATCAACCCCTTGAGTCTAGCAAACTCAGTGACATTCTCCCTCATTATAACCAGCCCATGCCATCGACTAATGACCCCATCTCCCCGTTCTGCGCCCCTCTCGGCAGGTTCCACGTGTGCCATCCAGGACCTGTTTGTGCGCGACCTGCTGCCGCAGACCAAGCACTACATCACCTACGAGGGCTCGACCACGCTGCCGGGCTGCTGGGAGACGGCCACCTGGGTGCTCAGCAACAAACCCATCTACCTGTCACCGGCCGAGGTGACCGGACTCAGTCGGCCCCCGCGGAAACAGCTGCAGTTTTATCGGCTCGACGAGCACGGCGCCCTCCCCGAGCTGTGATTTGCACTTGTTTGTGAAGTAAATCAAACGGAAACAAAACAGACTGGGAGTGAAAATTCATCTATGAAAAGAAGCACAGCCAAGTCTGTTTTCCTTAAATACAGTTGATTTGTTAGGATTGTGTTTTATTGTTCTCCAAAGGTTTCAAATAATCAAACATTTATTGCGTAGCAACGAAAGCTTTTAAACAAAGAAGCACAGGAAAGTACAAACGACTAAGACAGTGTTAATATAACATCGAGCCGTAAAAAGCTAAAAAGTAAAAAGTAGACACAAGAAAAACGCTTTCCCACACGGTCATAACAGCAGCCATTAAGAGGGTTACTGAGATGTATCGTAACACCAATCCGTTTATTCTTCAGCTGCATCGAATGCAAGGTCTGGTGCAGGGCTCCAAGGAGGAGACGAAGGGCCTGCTGGGGAACAACCGGCGGCCGCTGCAGCAGGCGCACCACCGCACCGTGCGCACCAACATCAACTTCCCTGGCGCCGGAGAGGTGAGAGCGAGAGTGTCGGAGGAGGTGAGAGGAGGACGTCGGCAAAGGTGAGGGGAAACGTCGGCAGATGTGAGAGGGGAACGTCGGCAGAGGTGAGAGAGCGCTAAGCAAATGTGAGAAGAGTCAGCTTGTGAGAGGGTAAGGTGTGACAGGTCAACCGCAGAATTGAGGAGAGATAACTAAGAAATTGAGATGAAATTCTTGCCAAGGGTCAAAGGTCACTGAGGAAAGGAAGCTTGCGAGTAAAGCGCGCGGCTGCGGGTAGGGGTGGAGCTGGGAGAAAAGCGAACGTGTGCAAAAGATGTAGGGGCTTCAACGTTCGTAAGGGAAGAAAACAGATAAATCTCAATGTGATGGGGCCAGCACACGGTCGTGAAGATCACTGTTTTGTATAGGATTAACCTCTAACAACCTCTGTTTCCTTTCAGAAATATTGTCCCACGATGGAGCAACAAATGTTTTACAAAGGTGAGATAATTTCAAATGAATGCATCATTGAAAATCATTCACTCGTTATAATAGATCAAAAAGAATCATAGCGGATCAGCCAGCCCATTGTGAAGGTTTTGTATTTCTGATGTTACGTAAAAATAGCCATTTCAACGGGCAACAATTGGGCGGGCAGTCAGTCTGTTCACTACGCACATATCGTTCTACACACCGAGTTCAGCGTTGCAATACTAAGCCCTCCGTTATCACTTACCATCCCCAATGACCGTAGTGCAAACATTCCACCAGTTGGGTCACCATTCTGACCTCTGTTACAGCCAACCGGCCGGGCAGGTGACCGCGGATGACCTGAGGTCAGACAGGTTAGTGACCTGCTGAGGTCAGCTCAGTGACCTGCTGATGTCAGACAGCCCAGTGAGCTGCTGAGGGCGGACCATTCAGTGACTTGCTGATGTCAGACAGCTCAGTGACCTGCATTGAGGTTAGACAGTGACCTGCTGATGTCCGGCCGCCCAGTGACCTGACCCCGGTGGCCCCAGTGCTGTTGGCCGTCAGCTCCGAGCCGGCGCGGAGCAGTGATATAGTGTGTACGGCTTGTTCAAAGTGTTGCTATGTCGGGTGTTCCGCGCTGCTGAATCATCACCAGGATTGCAGGCGGTAACTTCCAGAAGCAATAATGGAGGGAGGCTTCGATGGAAAACGGAAAATACACTATTCAGTCGAAACTCTCTTGCATACCGGTGACCTATCCAGAAAATGCATCCTCACATGTTGAATGTCACGATAGGATAAGTTGAGCAGCGATATTGCGCTTTGCTAAATATCGGGTATATCAAACTGGGTTATTAACTTATTATGATGGAGCGTTTTAGCGTGATATTCACAAATGATCAAAAGTTACATATAATTTCAAAATTGAGGCACATAAATTCTCTATAATAAGTCTCACCGAGCTTCAACAAGAGCTCGGTCATTCAGTCTGAGACATTCAGTCAAGACGCCTTCAATCTGAAGCATAAATGCGTTGGCCACGAGATTCATTGATCGCAGTGTAGGTACCTACCGATGCTCAGACATTGTGCAAAAGAATCGCGTGCATAACTATTGGCTGGCATCATGTTCTGTCGGCAGTCCTGTAGACAACTGATGAAGTCGCGCAACTCTGTCCCAAAATTGAGCATACGAACAGGCGAAAAATCCTGCTAGTGTGGTCCAATTAAAAAGTATGTGGTTAGAATCCGTACAGTCAATGGACATTGTTCGTTGAACGAGTGTTGACGTATTTTAGGAGTGAGATGAGTGTTACATGCTTCATTGTTGATGAACAAAGAAAAAATAAAGCTGTTCGAAACTTATTTGTCAATAGGTCTGGCTGTTTTCTATGTACTGTTTCTGCGCCTACGGCACTTATCGACGAAAGAAAAACACACGAACACTTGACATCACATGGCTGACTCCTGCCTTTTATGGTTCGTCCCTACGCGTGCAAGTCGGGGCGATACCACGCTTCGCACCGACTAGTTTGCATTCAAATGCAATTTGAATGCGTGATCTTTGAATAATGGTGACAAGCTAAAAACTGACCGAGATCGTAATTTGAATATATAAAAAGATACATTTAGCATTTATCCTCATCACACAGTGCCGTAGAGAATAAATGCAGTTTCGATCTGATTTCCCCTATAGGGTCTACATATATTAGTCTGATATTCCCTACCCACCCGCGTCACTTCCACCGGCTCCTTTTAATTTAATCACATGGTGTAAAGGCGCTGGGGCGTGTGGCCGCCGGGCGCTCTTTGGCCACCGTCCCGGCGCCGCGCCCGCCGGCAGCAGCGCCGTGGCGCCCCTGTTCGGTCCCGTAACTGCCCGTTATGGGAGCCAGAACAATGTAAACAACACTTAGCCGCAACAGCCTAATTTACCGACAGCTTCCGCGGCCAAAAAATAAACCCACAGAATTCAAAGCAGCTCGATCGGACAGTGAATTTTCGCGCTGGTTATAGATTGCAGTGAAAATAAAAGAAACAGTTTTACAAAGCGTCGTACAACCAGAAATTCAGTCTGTTTGCTCATAATTACTGAATGAAGAGTTATTGTTTATTTGACCAACGCTATTGACCAATCGATTACGAATGAGGGAGTGGCGCTCGTTACGTACCGCGAACCTTCGTTGTCAGACCAATTACAGCAGGTGTAACAACATGCACATCATTCTACACGCAGGGTTCCCGAGTGCCTAGCAGCGAACACAGGCGGAGACATTTTGAAACCTGTAACAACAACTGCTGGTGTGACGACTAAAACCCGCACCAACTATTTCCTGTTCTAGTAACGAACAATTTATGCCGAGACGGCACACCGGAACAGCACGTCCGTGGAGGTCATTGACCGTTGATTACAACTGCCGGCGGCCGGTCAACTCCGTCCAGTGGCTCCCAGGGACTGTCCGCTGCAGGAGCAAGTCGTCAGCGATCGGCATCAGTGGTCAGAGGTTAGCGGTCAGCGGTCAGTTATTAGGTAGGAGTCAGAGGTCAGCGGTCAGCGGTCACCAGTCATCAGCCATCGATGCTTATGTTCAGGAGCGAATGTTCACTTGTTAGAGAGAAAACACCTGTGTACGACAGGCTCCGACTGAATGTCAGATAGGTGTGCTGGCGGTTAGCGCCGTCCTGCCACGGTCGGAACACCGTCTCCGTCAGCCGTCAGGTACGGTCAGACAGACCGATCTTCACCAGTTTGTCAGGTCAGGGTGGAAAGCTGAGACGGACAGACAGGCAGGCTGGCAGTTCTACCAGCCGGCCAGGTCAGAGTCAGGGGCACACTCAGACAAGTCGACCCCCACCAGTCGATCAGATCAGGTCAGGAGCCGCTGGCCACCCGGTCAGGTCAGAAACCCCCCGCCAGCCGGCTCCGATCAGCCGGGTCGGCATTCCGTCGGCGGCGGGCCATCGGTCAATTACGGGCGCGGGTCGGCGCGGTGCCGGCGGCCGCGCCGCCCGGCTAGTGAAATGAATACGTCTCTGGGGCGCAGTGCTGGCGACGGACGGCCGCCGGCCCGGGCCACCATTCAGCCGACGGTCGGGACCGGAATACCTACACCTCCGACCGGCACGGACCACGCGCCGACGCCGAATCACGCGCCGGCACCGGGCACGTCCCACGAATGGGGTGTCCGACGCGCCCGGCGACGGGTGGAATGGGGTGTCACCAGGGTGGAATGAGGTGTCACCAGGGTGAAATGGGGTGTCCGACGCGCCCGGCGACGGGTAGTATGGGGTGCCGTCGGGGTGGAATGAGGTGTCACCAGGGTGAAATGGGGTGTCCCGACGCGCCCGGTGACGGGCGGAATGGGGTGTCGGCGGGCTGGAATGAGGGGTCGCCAGGGCGAGGTAGAGTGCCGGCGTGGGTGGAATGGAGTGTCACCCGGGTGCCAAAATGGGGTGCAGCCCTGGTAGATGCTGACGGCTACTAACACGTGTCATGGGTCGACCCCGTCGCCGGGCAGCGTGGGAACTCGGCCGCTGAACGGTCCGAGAGGCGATGGAACGGCGAATAACGCTACGAGATGGGGCGATGGAAAGTTCTCAGAGAGGCAGGCGCAACCGTGGACAGCCCGAACCAAGCCGAGCTGGTCGTGAAATCAGTTTGTCGTCCGCCGAGCAGGGCACAGTTTGACATTAGGTATGTCCATCCGTTGCTGGAGATGAGTGTCTTGAGCATTCGTGACATTAACCTCAACAAGAGACCCTCGCCATTCAGGTGGAGGAAATTGACATTCCGTTAGGGCTCGTGTGAGTGACCTTTAACCATCTACCCACTGACGACCAAATAAAGCGCACCTAATGTAACTGAACATGGATCAGTGGCTTCGAATAGGCTAATACTCCGATCATAAGTATTCACCATCAAACCAGCCACGTCAAGCTGCGATATGTGACGCATTTCATTCCATGCGACATCATTCAGAAACGAACGCATGGATGAATTAGTGACAGGGATCAATGGATAATGAAGGTTTCTTTCGGGCTCGTGCATTATTTACCGTTGCAAACTGCGTCAGCTGGTGCCAGCTGGAGCTGGTGAGGCCGATTTAGATCCACATTTGTCGTCTGACAACTCAGCAGCAGGTGCACGGCACCGACAATCGATGCCATTACGAGTTCACCTGTCCCTGGTCCCCTCCCCACCTCACCATACCTCCTTCACAGAGCCACCTGGTCGGCAAAGGTCAGATCGAATCTTGTGTCGCATTGACAACAATATTACCCTGACTGCAAAAGAACACCGACAACATTCGGGAACACGAAGGAGCCTCCTTGCGTCCAACCTCAGCTCATTTATGCTCCGCATTTATTACCGTGAATAAAACTAGACATTCAATAGACAGCTTTAAACACAACTTGTCACAATAAAAATATATCAAACTGCTCCAGCTTCCAAGATGGTTCTTATTTCAGCACTACACTGGCCTCCCGCCAAAGCTCATTCGCATGTAGCCAAACTCGATCATGCAGCCCATCCCCTACACCCTCCCTACACAATGCACAATGCACAATGCACATAGCACGTAGCTACGGAACCCGGTCAGTTCCCACGTCAGAGTCTGACTTTGTGACCGGTTATTTGTCGCTTCGACCTGGGCCCGATGCCGCATCCCCTCTGTACAGTTTGCATTGTGAACTGTTACTGTGCAGTCTGCAATGACACTCTGTAATGTCTGCAATTTGTGCACCCAATACCCAGCGCCCACTGCCCCCCCCCCCCCCCGGTCGCGGCCGTCCGCGCTGTAGGCGGGGTGATCGGCTAAATCGGTAGATGATAGATCATCCCCCACCCGCGCCCTGTTGGATGACCCGAGCAGCGTCTCGGCCGCCCGCTCGGCAGCGCCGGCTCATATTTCATTTGCAAGAACAACAGTGGCCTGTTTGCGCTGAGGATTGGCACCATCGCGCCGCGCGTCCGACGCGGGGGAGGCAGTTCCAGCGTGGGGGAGACGGTCCCGGCGCGACTGGGACGAATTCCAGTCAAACTCGCATGGTCACGGTGCCGCGTTCCTACGACAATTATCACCATCGCCATTTAAAAGTTTTCATGAACGACCATCATGCATGCAATGCGCCATATCATTACAGTAATGACAAAGGGTTATAATTTTCAATATGATAATGGTGATGCACGAGAAAATGAGTATGGCTGTCAAATGCAGCAGTAATTTGGCAGTAACTATGCTTGAAAATGTACTTATGTAGTGATGTGACTTGCAATGGTGATCATACGACGAAATATTAATTGTCATTGGGCAGAGCAATATTCTAAGCACATATGCGGCAGTTGTCAGTTGTAACCAAACACAAGGGGATTATGACAAGACATAATTAGTCAAAAAAATTAATAGACAGAGTTAAAGGCATTCATTGGAGAACTTGGCTGAATTAATGCGAGGTTGTTTGGCTTGCAACTTCGCGAACTGGTCACTGACAACTAACACGACTTATGACAAATGGAATCCACATCACTAATATTCTTCCTTGTGACGCTTCAAACCATTATATTCTAGCATAAAATTATCTGTTTGTGACATGCAAAACCCATATTAACGTTTGGCCTTTCCAGTCACTATAGAGAACGAATCAATGCCGCTTTCTGTATGAACAGTTTCGCCACGGCAGCAACGCAGTGGAAAATGTTCCTTTTGAATGAAAAGGGTTTCTAATCTACCTCCGACGACCCTGCAGAACCATGAAAAATGCCGAACAAATGGGACGCAATAACGAACGTGGGACGAGCGAGCCACCGACTGGCGGCTTCAGCGCATGTGAGACTGGATAATCGTTCACTGAGTTACCAACACAAGGGCCCCCATGCCAAAGCTCCGTACAGTGCGGCGGTTGTCCGCCTGGCTCGTCAGCTCTGCACCCTGTCCAGCCTGTCGGACCATGTAGTCACATCCTGTCTGAATCGCAAGCGCGTGTTCGTCCAGACCCGTATCATCAGCAGTGCCGGCTGTTCCGTTCCGTCTCTCCGCATAACGCCCAACACGCATAAGAAGCAGGTTAGGGCACATGACAGCCTGTCTGGGCTGAAATAACAACTCCCTAAAAAAAAATGAAAGAAAAAAAAACGATTAACCGTATTCGTCAGAGCGTGCTCGTCCATTCCCATCATCTATTTGTCGCAGTGCCTCGCATTGGTTTCGTCCCGTTCCGCCCCATCCCAACATCTCTGTGCCTCAGTGTCCCGTCATTGGCCGCGCATTGGTCCCGTCCCGTCGCGTCCCGTCGCATCCGTCGGCGGGCGGGTGCGGGCCCGTCCCGACTCCGGGCCGAGCGGGCCCTCGCGTGAGGCTGCCGGCCGCCTAAC